CATCCCACGAAACCATAAAAAAAAGGCAAAAATAACCTGTACTCTCCGATTGCGGGTATCTGAAACAGCAATTTCATTATAGGCGTTGACAGCTACACCCCATGGATAATTAAAAGTCCCCGGTGATCTACCCCTTTCACCAAATTTCAACAGAAACGTTCCTGACTCGTTGAAAACCTGTATTCGATGGTTGTCCTTATCAGCAACCACAATTTCATTCTACAAAAAGCCAAATTCATCATCAAAACTGCATATGCTAATTTATAAAAGCAATTGCAAACGGACTAGAGAATTCACGGCTATTCCTGCCGGACGATCGAACTGACCAGGACGGGATCCAGCAGATCCGAATTTCAGTAAAAAGGTACCGTCTTTGTCGAATATCTGGAACCATTAAATGCAAGAATGCCCACTTCAGCTAACTCAAAAACAAAAATCGTCGGGAAACCCTATAGAACTTCTTAGGCTACAAAGAAACTTCGTAACAAAAACCTGGATTCTATTATTGCTTCTATCCGCGACAATTATGCGCCCCTTTAAGTCACAACAAATACCCCAAGGACGACAGAGTTTGCCATCCTCTGAACCTTCACCTCCAAATGACAGAATAGGCCCGTTACGAGCGATTGCAGCATAGTTGCGGCCTTTACGTATATGAACCACGGCAGGACATCCACTAAATTATAAGTTCAAGAAATTACAAACAAAAAAATGAACCAACAAATTTTCAAAAAATTACACTTTTTTAAACCAACCATTCCTCAAAGTAACATTTCATTTATATTTTTAAAGGCCACTGACATCTTCCACACTGTCCCTACAAACCTTATAAACAAAAATCATATTTCTAGCAATGCCTCAAAGATTTTTTCCAAAAAAATATTCTGAAGCTATCTACTCCTTCTAAAGCAGCAATCTGGCTGATTCTTCAAGTTATTTGACCTTATTGAGACTCCACGCAAACGGATGTCCAACAAGTGGTTGCCCTCATCAACTGGGTAATAACTAATTGCGTAAACTCCAGGCTCACGGTCGCTAAAGAAGAATGATATATCCATCAAAAATTTCAAATGTTATTGTAAAAAAAGGGATCAGGAACTTACATGACACGCGTCTGAATTTCTTGCATACTTGGATTCAAAAATACGGCGGTTAAATCAACGTTTGATGACGATGTACAAACATCACCACATGCATCCCTAAGCTGAACTATTATAGTAGACATCCTATCTCGAATTGCACGTTTGTATCCTTCACCGACAATGTGAGATGTTCGAGCACATGGCCCACTGTCCAAGTCCCCCATATTACGTATTCTGTAAGTTTAATTTGCAGCCAGTTTTTAAAACCGTAATTCTACTTGAGAATCCTTTAATTTGGAACTATAATAATGCTTTAAGTAGAGGTCTAATAGTCACCGCCATACTAAATAGGACGCATTCCTTATTCAGTCTTTGATTTACTAACCCTCTTTCAACCTCCCTTAAAACTATAAAATGTTAAATCAAGCTACGCATACCATTCTAGTGCAAAGACGCTTGTGATAGTAGACAGCAACATCCCAATAAAATTAATTTCAATTTGTTTGCAACTTACTTATTAACCAAAGCTGCATCTGGCTGAACAAATTTTATTTGATCAGTTTCATTTGGAACTAAAATTAGCCTCGGCTCTCGCAACACCGATAAAAGTGCTTCAAAAGCATTTCGGATCTGACTTTCGCTAGCATCTTCCGAGAGGGATACTGTATGGGCATTCTAAAACAGAGTACTCAGTGGAACTCACAAAATTATGGACAAACAACCACTTTGCCTGTGCCAACCTGCAAAGCTTCATTCAAAGCTGTAAGACGTGAATTTATTTGCTCGCTTTGTAGCTGTAATGTACTTAGTTTGCTTTGTCTAATCGTATCAACCCTTTGCATCAGAATCCGCTTCCTGTCTTCGATTGCGCTAATCAATAAATGTGCGACTGACCGTAGCTCTCTCCCAACAGCCTTAAAAAGCCAAAAAAATAATCTTGCTAACTCGTTTGTTTTCTTATTACCCAAAACTCATAAATGCTCAGAAGGTTAAGGATGAATAAAGTGTTTAAAAAACAAACTTAGTTACATAGTTCTCTACAATTTTTCTTCTAAGCAAGGGTCATTTTACTTAATTTTGAAGTGGTGCTAGAGAATGACTGTAAAAAAAAAATACTTTATAAACACCGCACTTTCATCATGCATAACCAAACTTTTTAACTTTTTGCTACTTTCATAGTGTCAAAAAATAAGTTATAAGCACATTTGCCAGTAGATAAAAACGAAAACTACAAAACAGCAATGAGATGGTTTCGATTTCTAACTGCAATAAAAAAGAAAGCGTGTCTATAAAAAAGATAAAAAAATGTAGAACAAGGTTTCAAACAACCAGTAATTTCAGACATTTCAGCCACAAACCCTTAAATCCCATAAATAATAGATAAAACGACCTGTGCGATAAATTTAAAGTAATAAACTACTAATGATTGTGCTTGATGTCCTGACGACTCTTCGCATTAATTTATGCTGCTATATAGCAAAATTCAGCGAATTTAGTAATTTCCGCCTTACTTCAGACCTGATTCGAAAATTTTTTCCTTGACGCTAGAGAAAAGAAAACCGAATATCTAGAAGCAAAAAAGCAAAAGTGCCAAAATACCACTATTTTTCTGCTTCAAACACTTTTCTGTTCCTCAATTCGGGGAATCACTTTATTAAAAAATAGCTCGAATATACCTGGACTGACGCTTCAACACGATCCGCCATCCTACGGATCGTGACAAGTGCATCTTCCATATCTTTCTGATCATGCTTCGTACTGGAAACCAGACCGTTGAAAGACGTACGTAAATCTCCGTATGGCACGACCTGATGTTTAGCGTGAGAAGAAATGCATAATTTACATAAATTCGCACCACCGCAACTTACGCATGTACAAATTACAGTCAAATCATGACTTTCGCAGTTTTCATTCCCACGTTCCTCCCGTCGAGTACCATCATTTTTTAAAGATGACTGAAAAACCATACTAAATAAAACCAAAAAATAGGACTGCGTGAAAATAAAAATTAATGAAAATGAATGAGTTAATAAATTATGCAAAACAGAACAACTTTATAAAAGCTATGAGATTATGGAAGCCTCACTTGCAGTGGAACAGTCATTCCAGAGTAAAAAGATTCTAGACTAACAAGATCATGATCTCTAGTCATTCGAACACGATTGTGAGCGACAACACATTCGTTGCATAGGGTGTCCCCACACTGAACACAACGTACGCTTGCGAACGCATTTCGCTAAAGAAAAAATAAGATTCAGCCGCATAAACTAACCAATCTGAGCTTCAGACTAAGACAAGCTGACGCAGCAGAAATTTTTGCTTTATAGGTTCAAAGGAAAATCACCTCAAAAATGCAAGGATCCAGTTACAGAAAATGACTGATAATCTTGAACTAATAAAGTCCATAAAAAGCGAGTAAGAAATGCATTAAAAAAAAGTTACCACTGCCTCTTTAATAGCAAAACAAATTAAATAAAATACCACTGTAAAATAAACTGATTTTTCAACCATGTGAACCTTATAAAGTAAATGATAAAAAAAATTTCTTTGGAACCCCTTGTAAAAAAGAATCAAAGACTATTTGGAATTCAAGAAATTTTACATGATACCTCGTTGCACATGGTGCACTTTGGAAGTGCAAAATTAAAAGATGAACAGAGTTCTGTTTCGGAAACAGGATTCCAATTTATTTCGTCTTTTGAAGTCAAAGCAAAGATGTTATTCACTGCATTTGGCGAATTAACTTTCGATATTGTTGAGAGTAATGGCTTTCCCCCGTATATCCCACTTTCAGACGGAGAAGAAGTCGACAAATGTTGTGAAGAAAGAACAGATGATGGCGACCCACGAAACTTAAAAGTACCGTTATTTAAGACAAACAAGGCGCATTTTGAAATCCTCTGCAAATATTTCAACTCAAAACCTATAAATCCCTTACTCACCAGAGCAGGAGGCCGAAAATCTGTTCTAGCCATTGAACGCGGGGTGAGTGGTTTCCATATTGAAGATGATGCATCGACAGATATTGACGAGACATTTGACGATGTTTCGGGAAATAGCTGGAAAACTGGCGGCCTGTTAGGAGACGGATAAACAGCGAAATCGTTCATACAAACTGAGCACAGCTGAGTGCGATCGCATACAGAAGCGCAGAGATTGCAAACGCTGCAAAAGTAAGACGGTTCAGCCAATTCTTTGATAAGGTTTCACAAAAATCCTTTTGTAAACAATATTATAAACATGGAACAAAGCAAGTCTGAACTTCCAGTTAAAAAGTAAAGACTACAAAAAAATTCGTCTTTCAACAAAACAGCACCTATGTTGACAAGGAAGTTTTACGAAAGCAAAACTAGGATGTTCCTTGCTGCACGAAGGGCATGTCATCTGGATAGCGTCTTCACCGCTCGGAAGACCACTGACCCCGGGTTCCAAAAATAGCTGCAATTATACAGCTAGAAGAATACCAAAATTACATTCTGTCAAACATATTTCTTACTGTTCCACAAATAACACGACTTAAACATTTAGATAAGGTCACCTGTGGAGCGGATGGGAAACCAATAGGCATCGAAGAAGACACCGAAGAACTGTCGTTGCCCAACAACAATTTGCTTGTTGAGGGTACATCGCTTTGCCTTTCTTCCATGCTGTCGTTACCTTGAGCAAACAATCCGTCCACCACCCAACCCTTTCAAGCTCTTCTCCTAAATAACAAGCATAAAAAAAGAAAAGGCGAAACTAAAATTATATGCGCAGTGAAGACACAGCAGTCAAAAAAATTTTTTTTTAAAACTCCAGTTTCAAATCATTATTACAAAATAGAGTAAACTGTAATAATAAGTGTTCGTTTAGTTGAATAATCTACTTTTATCAGGACAGAAAGAGGAACTATTGTTGTTATTACTATTACTATTTGATCTTAATTTACAATTTACTCCGTTACCCCACGGAGGAAGACATATTTCCTGTCCTAACAAATGAACCCTACCCACAATGCAATGGCTCTCAGTATGAAAAAGAGGAGAAAGTGAAATAAAGTGAGAAGCCAAAGAAACTATGTCAAATTATTGAGGTGAATACTCGTGATTCATCACTTTTTCAATGTAGACATTTTTTTGCCATTTTTTTTTT